AGAACAGTCTGTTTCTTGCTCTTCCAAGAAATCAAGGAATCATCAAGAAACATGCAGAAGCCAGAATTGACTTGCGATCAGTGACATCACCAGTCCAATCAGAATCAGCATAAGGTGCCAAGTCCAAAAAGGAACTAGAAGACAACAATAACCCTTGAAAGATAGTACCCCGGGGATAGCGAAGAATCCGAACCAAAGCAGCTCAATATGTAAAACGAGGAGCAGAAATGAACTGACTAACCACATGAACAACATAGGCAAGATCAGAGCGAGTAACCGTCAGATAGACTAAGCAACCCACGAGCTCTCGATATAAAGTAGGATCATCTAGAAGAACACCATCAGTAGGGGTGGGCTTCATATTAAGCTCAATGGAGGTATTAGAAATCTTAAGGTCAGTAAGACCGGTATGATGAATAACCTCATTGGCATACTTGGCTTGAGAGAGACAGTAGCCCTTGAGAGAGAAGCTACCTCAATACCAAGAAAATACCGCAAGGGACCCAGATCCTTCATTTCAAAAGTGTGGAAAAGATGCTGCTTGACCTCAGAGATAGCAGAAGAGTCAAAGCTAGTGATGATCATATCATCCACATACATTAATAAGGCAATAAAGCCAGCAGAGGTGTGGAAAAGAAATAAAGCGGAGTCCTGAGTACAAGGATGAAACCTAAGCGCAGTAACAGCAGTCTGAAAACGGTCATACCAAGCACGAGGAGACTGTTTCAGGCCATACAAAACACGCCGAAGGCAACAAACTTGCCCAGAGGAATGGTGAAGGCCAGGGGGAGGACGCATATAAACCTCTTCGGTGAAATGGCCATTAAGAAAAGCATTCTTAACATCCATCTAATAAAGAGGCTAAGAACGAACAACAGCGACAAAGATCAAAGTACGGACAGTAGTCATCTTGGCAACAGGAGCAAAGGTTTCCTCATAATCAATACCATATTCCTGTGAGAAACCCTTGGCATCCAGACGAGCTTTGTAGCGCTCAAGAGAACCATCAGAATGAGTTTTGACTTTGTAGACCCATTTGCAATCAACCAGATTCTAACCAACAAGCAAAGGAACTAACTCTCAAGTACTAGTTTTCCCTAAAGCAGACAACTCATCCTCCATAGCTTGAATCCAATGGAAATCCTGACAGGCCTTCTTGTAAGACTGAGGTTCTGAAAAAGAATGAATAATAGACAAAAAAGTACGATAGGAAGCAGAAAAATATGTATTAGACCAACTTAGCTTGTTTGGAGGGCGACGCGCTAGAGTAGGATAGCGGTGTGTAGCAGGATCAGAGTCGGCAGAAGTAGGAGGATTAGCAGTAGGAGCAGAGATAACTGGTGGAGGGAGAGCCTGGCGACGCGAATAAAATAACAACGAATGAGGAGAAGGAGAAGGAGACGGAGGAGAAAATGGAGTAAGGTCATGGGGAAATGTAGAGGTGTACTCATCAGGAGAGACCTCAGAAAGACATGGATCAATGTGAACCAAATCCTCTTTGGAAACTGGAGCAGTGGTAGGAGCAAGCTGAAAGTAAGGCAGAAGTTTTAGAAAAGAAACATGACGGGAAATGTAAAGACGACGGGAAATAGGGTCTTAATACCGATGGCCTTTCTGAGTAAGATTATAACCCAAAAAGACACATAGAACAGACCGTGCACTAAGTTTGGTCTGATCTTTACGGGAAAGAAGGACAAAATAAGCGGACCCAAACATATGAAGGAAGGAGTAATTGGGAAGTTGAGAGAACAGAGCCTCATATGGAGACTAACTAGAAAGAAGGGGAGTAGGCATACGTTTAAGAAGAAAAGAAGCAGTAAGAACTGCCTCACCCTAAAACGAAGCTAGAACTGAGGCAGAGAGAAGAAGAGGCCTAGCTGTCTCAAGGAGATGACGGTGTTTAAGCTCGGCTCGACCATTTTGGGCAGGTGTATCAATACAAGAAGTTTGGTGAATGGTACCCAAATTGGCCAATACTCACAGAATTCAGTTTTAAAATATTCCCCACCCAAGTCAGATCGTAAAAATTTAATGGTAGCCCCAAATTGTGTAGTGATCTTAGTTGCAGGAATCGTGCAACCAGGACACGAATCTTCGTAAGAAACACGATTCCGCGTTTCTTAGAAAGAAACGTGTAAGAATCGCGTTTCTGTAGAGAGAGAAACGCGATCCTGTCCAAGATGGGATCGTTGGTGGCTGTGAACAAAAACCCTAACTTGTTGGTCAACAAGGAGAGAGGGGAGAAAGAAGGTGAAGTACCTGAAGGTCAGATCGTCCTGCTTCTTTGCTTCGTTTTTCTTCTCTCTCTGGCAGATCGTCTCTCTCTCTCTTGCTCTCGCAGATCTTCTCTGGCAGATCGTCTCTCTCTATGGCAGATCGTCTTTTGTCTCTCTCTCTCGCAGTTCGTCTCTCTCGCTCGCTCTTGCAGATCGGCATCGTCTCCTCCGTCTTTGCCTTCTCTCACTCGTGCTCTCTCTCTCTCTCTCTCGCCTGATATATATGATTCGAATATATATAAGTATTAAACATATATCTTTATATATATTATATAAGATCTGGTTCAAAAAAAAAAATATATATATTATATAAGATAAAACATATATCTTTATATAAATATATATATTTAAAATATATATATATATATATTAACACATTATTATTTAATATATGTAATAAAAAAACATTAATTAAAAAAATAAAAATATTAATATATATAATTTTATAATATATATATATAAACAAAAACATTAACACATATAAATATAATATATATATATATACATATATGATTCCTTATTTGTTATATTTTTTTATTTATAATATATATATCAATTAAAAATAAAAAAATAAATTAACAATAACATATTATTTAAAAAATATAATAAATAAATAAAATAATTAATGTGTATTATAAAAAATATTTATGAAAAAACTTCTAATCTGTATTAAAAAATATATATATATATATATATTACCGCTCCCCGAGGCGCTCCCAACCTAAGAAACTTCTATCGGCTCACGCTTCCCCGCTCCCGCTCCTGCTTCGTGCAACTAAGGTAGTGATCATAGATTGAAATGTACAACATATTTTGTAGAAATTAGATTTATGAGTTATAAGATAAACCCACGTATAACGAGTGCAATCATCAACAAAAGACACGTATGTGGAACCCCCTTTAGTGAGAATAGGAGAGGGTCCCTAGACATCAGTATGCACAAGAGAAAAAGGAGAAACAGAAACTAAAGTACTTTTATTAAAAGGTAAAGCTGACATTTTGACAAGTTTACACTCTCGACATTTATCAATTTGACTAGAAGAAACTTTACCTAATAATCTTGACTGAGCTAAAGACCATAAGCGGTCAACAGACAATTGACCTAGGCAAGAATGCCATAAGTAAAACTAACTCAACTAAGAATCTAACTGAAATGAGGAAAATGCAACTGGAGAGGTGGATAGGGGGAGATGCAAGCTTTCTACCACATAGAGATCTCCAACTCTACGGCCGGTCCCAATCTGCTTTTTGGATACCCGATCCTGCACACAACAGACAGAAGAGGAAAAAATAACATCAAAACCAGAAATATCAAGTTGACTGATAGATAATAAACTGACAGATAGCTGAGGGACATAAAGAATAGAGGGAATAGTAACAGTAGACATAACAAAGGGTAAGACAGACCCAATAGACTGAACCGACATACTAGACCCATTAGTAGTATTATTAATAGTAATAGGAACGGGCGGGAGAATACAGTTTTGAAGTAAGGAAAGGTGAGGAGTCATATGATGAGAGATACCAGAATCAAAACGCCAGACGGAAGAGGAGATACCTGAAGGAGACCCAAACAAACCTGAGGGAAGAGAGGTAAGAGCAGAGACAGATGGGGATGGCTGAGAGGTGGACAAGAGATGCTAATGCTGAAGCTGAGCAAGCTGGGCACTTAAGGAAGCCAAGTCAGGATCAGAAGCTGGAGCAGATGCAGTATAAGCAGCAGAAGGTCGAAAAGTACTCGGAGTAGGACTTCAGATTTGTGTTTGAGGTGGCTGAGAAGACTGAGTAGACTGACGTACGTCCTCTCTTGGGACAGTTGTGCTTCCAATGGCCCTTTTGATGGCAAAAGGCACACTCATCAGAGGCTAGTGGCCCCTTCTTAGGCTTCGCATTGGCCTGAAGCTGATGAGATGGTGGGGTCGACAACAGAGGAGATTGAGTAGGAGCTAAGAAGACAGATGGAGACAGAGTCTGATTGGCCGTCTTAAGACGGGTTTCCTCGGAAAGGAGCTCACGAACAATAGCATCCACAGAGGGGAGAGGAGACCGATGAAGGATGCCACCACGGATAGCCTCATACTGAGGGAGAGAGCCGTTAAGAACTGCACTAAATGACCTTACTCCTGAAACTCAACATAAGCGTCTAGTGCCTTGAGGCTAGATGGTTCCATGAGAGCCAACTGATCCCAGTGATTTGTCATCTCAATATAGAAGTCCTGAATAGATTGATCCCGCTGACAAGCACTCTGAATAGCTATTTCTAACTTATGTCGCTTGGCAAAGTTGGACTGTTGATACGCACCCAATAAATAGTCCCATACCTCCTTGCCAGTACTGTATTTGGAAAACATCATTCCAATACGATCATCCACAGAATTATGAAACCAAATTAGAACTTGGGCATTATCACAATCCCAAGTGTCATAGAAAGTCAGATATCTTTCTTGTTTCGGGTCCAATAGACAAGGAACGGAACCAGAAACATAGTCCTATTTTTTCTAATCAAGAAGGAAATTCTTCATAACATTAGGCCAATAAGCATAATTGGCACCAGTGAGTTTACATCTGATAGCTTGGATTTTGGTGTCCGTCATTGTAATAAACCAAAGATTAATAGTTTGAAGAATAATACAAAATACCAAGAGGGCCAAACTCTAAATAAATATTCTTAACCAAAGAACAGTACTATAGAGCCAAATGAAACATGAACACAGAGAGACAGAGAGGGAGAAAGAGACAAACAGAGCAGTAGACGATGAAGACGACGAACCAGAGGGACCGACGAACCAGAGGGTGTGTCCGAGTATCTGAACCACAGAGAGAGAGAGAGGCGAAGACCCCTAAGTCGCGACTTCAGACCAGGCAGCCAGAGACCACTTCGAACAACAGGCGACGACTTCGAACAACAGGTGTGAATGCCGGCCGGACCTAGGGTTTTGGACGTGACTCTGATATCATGTAAGATTTCTGAATAGCTTTCTGTATATTCAACTTATGTAATACAAAGATTACAAGCAATATTTATAACCTAATCTATAATAGGAAATACCCTATGCAATCAATCGAATATGCACAATCAACCAATCAAACTACAACTTACCTAATTGATACATAATACCATAATTACATAATACCATAATTTTCTCACAGGCGAAACTGGAAGCTTTTCAATGTGGTGAGCTTACATTCAAAATATTTTAGACTATTGTTAATTTCTTAAGAAAAGATAGGTTGTTTGTTACATAGATTTTTTTTTTTGACAAGTTCTTTTATTTATATGTTCTTTTATGAAAAATGGACTATTATTGTTTTTAGTTTTTTAATTTCTTTTAATCCTGTTTATCCTTTGGAATTGGTTTGTGATTTGTCCTACTGTTTTCAAGTACTAATCAAGAAAAACTGCAGCACAGTTCAAAATAACATGTTCCCATAGTTTTTCAAAGTTTGTCTCGGCTGTATGAATATTTTTGCAGGCTTTACTAGTTCTAATTGGACAGAGTCATTTTTTTTCCCTATTGGTTGTATGAATTTTAAATTTCATGAGTTCTCACGTAAGGATTGCTGGTAAACTTTTTAAATACCAAAACTGTGCTGCACACTTGTGTACACACTAAAGTTTGATTGCAAAGACTCTAACCTATGTTTCATTAATAATTGGAAGAAGCTATCATCTTCACTGGCCCCAAAAGGATTTGATGGATGTTTTGACTTTGAAAAACAGGTGAACATTGGGCTCAACTCATTGAAATCAAATTTGCAAAGATGAATGTGGAAGGGTGTGTAGTTCCTGAGCAATTGAAGCCAACTGTTGTTTTGACGGGAACAGCTGAGGAAGGGAGAGCTGGACCTCCTATTGGTATGATGGACATTGGTGTTAGTGAAAAGGCCTACCTTTGTCGGATTGCCCTACCTGGTCTTCGGAACAATGAAAGTAAGTTTCCTATATTTTAAAAAGATTTTTCAGAGCAATATGGCATATGTTATGCAAATGAAAATGGATGCAGCATGATTCCAAATTTTAAGGCCTCTGCTAAGGTGGTGTCTGATAACTCAATTCAACACTAATGTATTAAGTGATAACCAATTAAGTCCATTTGATAACCACAATTCATATAACCTAAAAATTCGGTGGTGCTGCACACACCAATTGGTATAGTAATTAGTATACCAACATAGTTATGACGTTGTCATTTTAAAACTATGATCCCACCCATTATAAAAACCCAAAACTTCTAAAATTATGTCACATTATCTGTTAGTACACTAATTAGTATACCAATTGGTGCATATAGCATTGTTCCTAAAAATTTAAGTGATTTTTAAAATACAGGCTAAAGGTTAAGAAAATTTTAAATAGCAGAAATCTTAGGAAATACTAGCTGAATTTATAACTGCTAATGTATAAACACTGATGTGCACCATTATGACCTCGTCACTATAGGTATATCACCACCGTTTCACTACCAACACCACAATTGTTATTACCATCACGATTACCACAACCCTCCACCTCCACCTCCACCTCCACCATTGCCACCACTACAATAATTACCATCACTACCCCACTGCTGCTGCCGCCACCACACCTCCACTATTACCATCCCACCACCCCTCCACAATAACCACATCCAATATCCCTCCACCTCCACATCCACCTCTACCTCCACCTCCACCACAATATAAAAATTGAAAGAGAATTTAAAAATAATAAATTTCAAATTTCATCTTGTACATGCTAAAGCACTTAAATTTTTATCAAACAATTATTTAGCTTAAAAAAATTCAACGTTAAGTTTTCAACTTAATTTTCAGTTTTATAAAACACCAAGGTGATGGCGTTTGGTAACGTTTACGTCAAAAAAAAAAAAGAAAGAAAAAGTTTTTAGTTTATTTTTACAAAAACAAAATCTACAAATCTACAAATATGCTTAGAAAAAATTGAAAACAAAAACCAAAAAGCATGTTTGTTAAGACCTATAATTTTTATAATTTTTCCAAAAGCCTAAATTGTTAGGAAATGAGCCAAACAATGTATATCTAGTTATCTAACAGTTCCCCACATGCAACCCTATCTTCCATGTGGAAAGACAAATAGAGAACTAACCAGAATGAGTAGAAAACAACCAAATAGAGAAGAAGAAATCAAGCAGGACCGAATACCAAATGTCAATAGAGAAACTTGAACCCAAGATCTCTTTCAGGTAGAGTTATGATATCATGTTAAGTTACTAATTTTCGCAAAAGCCTTTAAGAAATGAGCACAACAATGTATATCAAGTTATCCAACAATACCAACCATAAATCAATTTAAAAGTTAAGACATACATAATTGGGTTCTGTTTCCCATTACAATACATGTGAACTTAATTGATCACAACTTTAATTAAAAGATGTACCAATAGTGACAACAAAGTGAAGAATATGAATATTTTGTATCCAAAACATGCAATTATAGTTGCACGACCCCAGTAGGTAGCTCGTCCAGCGTTGGCGACTTGTAACGAGTATTCATCCTTCCATATGAATCATCCCTCTCTTTCAGTTGGTAGCTTGTCTAGCTGTGTCTCCCAAGATATGGAAACAATTCATGGTAGCAAACCATCCCTTTCTTCCTGAACCTCTTTGCATGGGTATTAACCTACAAACCAATGAATTTGAGGTTAACATGTAAAATACTCCAATTAAATGTGGTGAAAAAAATTGCAAAAAGTTAATGAAACCTTGTAAAGAGCCTCTCAAACATTATTGGATGCTGTGATAGTAAGCTGTTGGCTTGTCCCAACCAACACTAATATGCTTTAGTGATGTTGTAAATTTGTTGAACATAATACGTAGCTTATTTTATTTGTTCTGAATCTGCGCTGTGGTATACTGGTATTCGGTTTTATCATTGCTTTGATCCCTCAACCTAGTGCAAGCTTTGTTAGTGAATAACCATGCTATATATTCATTTCATCCATGAGGTTAATGAAAATAACTGCATTTTGTTTACGTCATGGACCACTGTTTCCTCCACCAACTTCAACAACATCATCTTCATAAATATTATTATGCCGTGCCATAACTTTTTTTATATTTCTACCTTTCACCCAAAAAAAAAAGAAAAAAAAAAAATTCCTAGAGTTTGTCTGTGAATCAAAACTAGATGAATCGATGCAGTGTCCAAATATTGCGTATGTTATCTTTATAGCATAAAGTCCAAATTGACATTGCTAAAAAACCTACCTGCTTGAGCTCAATTCCTAACTAGGTCAATCTTTACTGCATGAGACTAGCTAGAGCCCTTGCGTATGTCATTACCCATCCACAACCAGTGATTGAAAGGTAAAAAATGCAATGACTTGCACTACTTCAATTACACTATTACCAAATTTCAGGTTAGTCTCAATTGGGTTGCTAAAGTTAGAATGACAACCTCATTGAGAACTCAGACAACAAATTATGAGGGTTTAATTGAAAAGCTCAGCCCACACTTCTCCTTAAAACTCAGGTATTAAGGAGAGGGAAACTGGAGCCTTATAAGATACAATAGCTGGACAAACGGCACACCAATCATAGGCCAACCAAGCTTTGATACCAAATTGAAAAGCCTAGCTCACACTTCTCCTTAAAACCCAAGTATTAAGGAGAGCGAAATTGGAGTCTTATAATCAGCATAGATGGGGCTACTCGAGGCGATGTGGGACACATTTCAACATGTTTAACTAAACTAGTTGCGCAAAGTAAGAATCTAAACTGCTATCAATACAGAACTACACAATTAATTATAGTCACCATTATTAATTTTTTTTTTTTTCTATTTTCTTTAATAAGAAACAATAAAGATGGAGATACTATTAAGGAAAAAAAATTGCAGGAAGGAAGGAAGGACATGGTATTATAGAGTTGGTGGTATACCTAATTTTGAAACAAAATATAAATTCAGTACAGATGGATTTATAGATCAGGTTTCAAAAACCATCACAGATAGTTTTTTATAACAAAATTGAGGATGAACCTATTTTTCAAAGAAAATATACAGAACTGTTTAGATTTGTTGTTTAAAAAAAAAAAAAAAAAAATTACAAGCTGAACAACAATCGGTAGCTCATGGGGGAGAGAGAGAGAATTTAAGCAAACGAGCCTTCCTCCTTTTTTGGCTTCCATCTTTTGTTTAAAAACTAACATAAACAGCTTTTTTGAGTTTACAATTTCAGGGCAATTTATGAACTTGAGACCATCAATTTATAAACTAAAAAAATTACCAAACAAGTTATAGGTAGTTTTTAAATTTTTTATAAATATAAATAGAAAACTGTAAACGTAATGGTTACCAAACAAAACCCAAGTAATTAAATGTAGTTGTGACTAAGAATGGTTTAAGAAAGTAGGCATGTTCATGAAGGACAATATTTTCATTGAATTAATTTTTTGTTTTTTAATAATAATAAAACTGTAGATATGACCCAGTAGTGATTGTTTGTTATGCCAGATAATTTTACTTGTGATATCCAGCGTGATGGAAGAGTAAATATACATGGAGTTGTAACAGGTGGAGCTTTGAAAGAGTCGTCGACTGCATATGAGATGAAAGTGCAGCAACTATGTCCACCTGGTCAGTTCACTATTTCCTTCAATTTGCCTGGACCTGTTGACCCTAGACTAGCTTCACTCAATTTTAGGTCTGATGGAATCCTCGAAATTGTTATATTCAAGCCGAGGTCTACCGTTTGATCATATTAATAAAGTATGAAGTTTAATCGTTCTATTGTACTGAGAACTTTTCCTCAAGGCTGCAGTTCGTTAAATGTTGGTCTTATTGCCTTGTACTTCCCGGTTTGGTTTTGGAGAACAGTGGTGATTTTGATTTTGATGTTGAAGAACCATTGATTATTATGAACAGTGAGGAATCAATGTATGTTGCATTTCATTCGGTTTTTTAGAATCATCCTCCTATTCTCCATTGATATTTATTAAGAGCTCATTCGATTTGTTGTTTTATACCCGTCTTTCCTTTGTCATAGTGCTGCTACATTGGCATGCTTTGAGGCTTTCTCAAGCTTTAGAAGGCCTGTGTGCAAATGTTCTGAAACTCACTGATGCAGTTCTGGGGTAGGTCTTTAGGAAGTAGGATTGCTCCAAAACCTGAGGGCATGTTTGGTGACCTTCATTTCCTTCATTTTGTTTTTTGTTTTCGGAAAACAAAAATAATTAAAATTTTTGAAACATGCATCGTTTTCATTTGGATAAATTACAAATACACTGTTTGAATTTTGTTTAAAATACAAATTGCTCTTTGTGTTTTTGAAAATTACATTCCATTCTTTCAAATTTCTAATCTCATAACAAATGACAATTTTTATCAATAAATCATTAAGTTAATTAACAGTTTTTAATAATGTCACGAATATATTTTAATTAACAATTATAATAATTTTATTGTTGCATAAGAGAGTAGTTAAGAATTTTATTTTTTCTGTTAATTCTCTTAAACCAAATTTTTTGATAAGAGTATTTAGAATTTCTAAAACTACCGGACGTATTTTAAGTAAATCTCATTGAGCGTATTTGTGTTGTATCATTTTATTTTTTGTGCTAAATTAATTTTTTGAAAATTTGAAGACTTTTTGGGCCTTGTTTGGTTTGCTTTGGAGAGAGTAATTTTGGAGAAATTTTTTTAAAATTTTGTTTGGTGTAGTGATTTTGAATTTTTTTTTTCAAAATCACTCTCTCTCTCCTATACACAAATTAATCACTTTTTCTCTTTCCTCTCTCTTTTTCAATCATTTTTTTTTCATACACATTTACTCAATTACAACAAAATATCAAATCATCTCAAATTCTCATATTCCAAAACTACTTTCAAAGTATACAATCAAACAAACTAAAAAAATTTCTAAACTCTCCCTAATTTTTTTTTTTAAAATTTGTCTCTTAGAATCAAACTAAACACACCCTGGTGTTTCTTGAAAAATTAGGTTTAGATTTTTAGTGAAATAAAGTTTGAAAGTCAAAAATAGGTGAACCAAAATTGGTGGGTTGAATGGAAATGGCTAAAATCTGTTAATGAGAAATGTACAACTCATATAGAGTCATATTTAAATTTTGTGTGGTGTATTGGGAACCATATTTAGGTGAAGAAGAAAACACATGATGTTCCTTTAGTTTATTAGTAGGAGCTTGTGAGTCACTATAGTGGGGGTGATATGAGAACTTAAATCATTCAACAAAACAGCTTTTCCCCCCAAGTAATAAACATGCTTAGATAATGACTTTCATTATCAAAGGAAGGTGGGCAAAATGTGGATGCCTAGAGAGAGAGAGAGAGAGAGAGAGAGAGAGAGAGAGATCACTAATTGATTCCCAAGTGAATCCATCATTTTAATTTTGAACAAACATGGGGCAGCTTCCTCAAAACACATAAGATATCATATCATATCAACTTTTATTTTTATTTTTATTTTTATTTTGTCTTTTATGTTTTTTCTTCTTCTTGTGTTTGCATATAATGATCTCCCTCTTGAGGCTGCTATTTTTTGTCTTTTACGTTTCTTCTTCTTCTTCTTGTGTTTGCATATAATGATCTCCCTCTTGAGGCTGCTATTTTCCCCTGGTCAATCATCGTCATCATTGTGAAAGATTTACATGAAGATGAAGGTCATGCACATCCACAAAATATATTGGTGGTGGTTGTGGTATTCCTCCTACCAATCAGAATACGCCACATTGCGTCGTTATCACATATTTATATACAATATTAAGACTCGCTATTTATACTAATCACAAAATTATTAGACACTACTTCGCATTGCTCTTGGAACATCCAATGACTGCACCTACATACGTATGCTCCTATAGCTACGTCAACATTAGGCGATATATGTCACGATTATTTATCACAAGGTTTATAGTGTTGTAAATTGCAAAGGGTTTGATGGGTTTTGGAGATTAAAAACTCTAGGTCCGGGCTGGCTTTGACATTTTTCAGGTCTAAAGTGAATTTTCAATACGAGGCCTTTCATATATGTAAAAAAAATTTAAAACTTGTGACCAAAAGATTATGTATTCATTTTTTTAGACAAAGGCTACTTCTATATAAAATTATTAAAATTTATTTAAATATATAACAAAGTTTATAATAAGAAAAATTATCAGATTAATCCAAGCTCAAGTAACAAATAAAAAAGTCAACAAATTGTAACAAAATATCACTTAAATACCATAATTTTCACAATTTTAATTGCAAAATCGCCAATTAAACTTGTATAATACTTTTCAATGGATAAAATTGCGAATCCATTCAATTTTTTTTTTTGGTATAGTTGACCGAAAGTAAACTTTAATCAACTTTAAATTTAAAAAGAGTCCTTTCTTTATAAATAATTGTAACTAATATAATTAATCGTATTCGACCCACAATTTAGGCATTTGAAAAATTATCATCCTTAATTTTAAACAATTTCATCATATGAATAAACTTTTTTTTTTTTTTTTTTTTTTATAATTTTTTGTGTAAAACAATCATTTATTAGTTTTAAATAATTCACCACATCAACCACTTATTAGTTTTGAATTTTTACCAAACTGTGTTGGGGCCTTTTAATTTCAAATATACATATTTTTTGACTACCAAAATAGCTAAAACAAATTTGGGGCCAAAGTCCGCTCTGCTCTAGGCATTGGCCTAGGGCACAGCCACAGATACAAATGGCTTAAAATTCTAACCAAATAAGTATTTGATTCTCTTTGACTATGAAGGGTGGCTGTTGTGCCATGGCTGTTTGGGAGATGGGACCTGCTTCAAGTCTGACAATTATTTATTTTTTAAGAAATGTCGAGAAAAATATATTTGTAAAAAGTTAAGTTGATCGGACATCGGTAGCATTAAGATCAAATCAATTTACAAAATTAGTTTGATCATAGTGTTACCGATATTCGATCAATTTGATTTTTTTTTCTTCTAAAAATGTTCTACTCAACGTATTTTAAAAATAAACAGTTCAAATTATCGAAATAAAATTAAAAATGGTCCTATCGCCCAAATGACTGCTGTGCGAATAGTGCAGCAGCCAACATTCATCTGATAGTGTTGATTTTTTTTTGGCTTTGATTTGAACTTTCTAGATTGTATGGTTTTTTTTTTCTTTAGTATAAAATTTTCATTTTCATTTCCATTTTGTTGAGTTGAGTTTTTGTAGAGAGAATTTGAATCTGTCGAGCAACACGTCAAAACATCATCTATTAAAAATGAAAAAAAGAAAGACAGAGAGAAATATCCTCTAATAAAAAACAATACTTAAAAACAATATAATATGAAAACTTGATGCAATGTTTATAAAAATAAAATAAAATAAAATATTTTTATGATTTTATTATTATTATAGTATTTTTTACAATTATGTTTCGTAGTAATACACGTGATATGGTTACCGACAAATTTGAAAGTCCATCTCCATACTAGCAATTAAACTATCTTGAGTTTGTGACTTAATAAAATTGTTAATTATCACATCGTTTGACATCTTTCTCTCTTTTGGGAGGCAGGGTCACAAATGTCAAAAATGTGACTTCATTACATGTATAACTTGCATAATCAGTAGTCAAATCTCAAGAAACTCTTATTATCACATTCATGACCATATTTTCCATTTTTTTAAAATAATTAAATTATAGTCACCCGATTTGGTTTTGAATTAAATTTTTTTTTTCTTCTCACAATTATTATATTTTTTAGATTAGACGTACGTAAAAAATAAAAAATAAAAAGTTGTGTAAAGTATTAAAAAAATTCACTAAGAAAAAACAAGTGAATTCAATTTTCTAAAACCAACATGATGATTGATTTTCTTCATGATCTGTTGGAGCCTCTCTTGGTATGTTGTTGTGCTGCCTCTCTGGTTTGTTATTGTTGTTTTGGTCTAGTGCATCATGATCTGTTGGGGTTTAACTTGTGATGGGGTCTGTTGAAATCTATTGCTAATGCTGCTATACTGATGGGGTTTGGTTGGAGTCTCTTTGGAGCCTCTCATTGTTGCTGATATTGTGTTGCTGCTAATGGGGTTTGTTGATCTGGTTTATTGGGTTTTCTGTTCTGGTCTACTGGGGTTTGCTGATCTGGTTTTTTGGGTTGTTCTGTTCTGGTATTTTGTTCTGCTCTGTTGCTTTCTTTGTTGGTTTCTCACCAACTAAGAGGTTGGCGCTTTGTTTAGGTCCAAACTCTTCTTTATTGATGTTTCCTTCATACTTTGTATGGTTTTATCATCAATAAAGTCTTTCGTTTTGCTCATCAAAAAAAAAAAAAAAAAAAAAAAAAGATTTTCTTCAAAATTTTAAAAAATTACAAAATTAACGTCCCTCTTTACTTTGGTTGTCGGTTTCAGATCGTCCCATTCATCAATTTTGCATCATTAAGATGGGGTAGAAATAAGTGATATAAACATTTAATTAATATAAAATCTCCTTTTTGCCCTTTTATAATTGTTGTAGACTTCAATACTCTTTGGTAAATTACATTGATGATCTCCTCTGAGGTTAAATGAAGTGAAGTTACAAAGTCCTCCTGTGAGATTTTTGAATTGGCACTACTCCTCTCTACTTTGAAGATTAAGGAAAGTTTTTGTAATTTCATTTATATTCATTTAGTGGAAGTTAAAAAGTCCATTACTATTTTCCATAATTATAAAATGTGATTACATTGTTCAATTGGAATATTTTTTATACAATTATGCACATTTAACATTTTGTTATCTCTACAAGTCGATTGTTAATTGTTAAATTAGCACCTATGAGAATTAGCTTCTCGAACAACAAGTACTTCCTTCCTTAATTTAATTTCTTCTTAAGGAGAGTTGAACCCATAACTTTCGCTTGAGACTAAACTCTTAGAAGAATCATGGTGGTCAACTAAATTAGGCCTAATTGGATAACATTTAACATTTTTTCAATACACAAATACACGAGTCATTCTCACATTTTTCAATTTCATGGAAGATTGAATCATGAGTGGAGGAGAATGTAGGATGGTGGGGTGGGTTGCAGTGAGAAAGAGCTGGTCATGGTTCCAGGTGGTGAGGTGTTTTGTGGGCAGTGGGTGATGTTTAATTAACAAAGGGAGCGAGAGACGTCAGTTGTTTTTGTTTTTGTTTATTTATAATTCTACATAATTTTTTTTTCTCTTATTGAAATTATGTATCATGATTATAAATAAAAATGGGTTATACATATCGCTTCAACAAATTAAATTTTTCCTTGGTAATAATGATATTCATCACTACTGTGGTACGAGTTTTATTTTTTAAGTAATAATAATAAAAATAAACATGAAAAGACCAAAGGAGGTCTTTGTAATTTTGCTAAGTCTTAAAAGACATCAATACTTTAGAGTAGGAGTAAATAAGTAAAATTCAAGTTTTGTTAAGGCCACGCATGACAAGGAAAATCAATATCATCTTGGAAATGTAAGAGAATGTTCTTACAATTTTGTTAAACTTTCCAAGAGGTCGATGTTATTTACCTTTTTTTCTTTGGGGGGAGGGACAAATGTCAAAATTGTGACTTCAATTACATGTATAATCTACGTAATCATCAGTCACCATATCATTATCAAAGATAACAACCTCCATATAGACACACACATGATAGTTATGGCATGTTATTAAAAATCTAAAGTAGGAATGATATATGGTTGCACTCACTCTTTGATCTGTCATTTAAACTGAAAGTAGTCACCTTGTCTTCTTTCATAAAAGTAGTCATCTTGTCATCAAAGTCATCTTCTCATCTCTTTGCTTTTTATTCACTTTTATTTATTTATTTATTTATGATTTTTAAACAAAACACTCCTTCATTACCACCATGGTCCATGGCCATGTATGGCCTTCCTTCCACTTATTATTATTTTAATAAAATCCTTATGTTGCTATCTTTAGACATAACAATGAGATGTGTGAAGGACTAATAATCATTCTTTTGGAATCCTATTCCAACCACTCATGCTAACTAACTAATATAAAAGAAAGAAGAAAATCAATATTACAATCAAGGGCAAGTTGACTTTGAACTCTTCAATATATTTGTCATTCACAATATTCCAAGTGGACATCTCACCTAAGTGATTAAACCCCATTAGAAGAAACAATGATCTTCCACAAAACTTAATGTCCTTTGGAAGGAAAAAATGATAATAAGCATTTGATTGTGGCTTTTCATCTTCTATCTTAATTTTCTATCTCAAACTTTATATATTGTCATGTACGGTTGTCATTAAAAAAGAGACCAAAAATTTTGATGTATTAAAAAATTCTTATACAAACGAATAATAGTGACATGACAACACGTAAAAAATAAGACAGAAAATTGTGACACAAAAAATTAAGACAAATTATCTTATGAATAATGCGTGTATGAGAGATAAATTTTCTATTACTTCATCATGTGTAAAACAACTTACTTATCTTCCACTAAATAACAACTTCCACTTCTATAGAGATTTGTACAATCCCATAGTAACTAAACTACAATTTGCACCAACTAATCTTGATATCCCTGTCTACTTTATAGAACTATTCACATCTCTCTTCACAGGTACAATGATTATTAAAGCCACCCAAAATGAGTTGGTATTAATGGCCCAAAGTTTCCTCTTCACAACATGATATAGAGTACATGCATACATACAAAGATTACATGGCTACGATTATGTATACATACAAGGTTTGAGAGACCTCCCAATAAACTCAACAAAAGGGTAAAAAAAAAAAAATTTCCAAGAGTCCCAAAAAAAAGTTATTCAAAAAGTTGTCAAAAAATAAAATGCCTTGACCAGATTGATTCACCACATTTTATTTCTAGTCACTTTCTGTATTATTTTTTTCCGGGACTTCCAAGCTTTTTTCCTATTCGCAAAACATTATTTTTTCTTGGCTTGAGTTTCTGTGGTTTTCAAAAGAGGTCTTACTTTGAGTAGGGTTGCTTCCTTTTTTGTTTTTGGTTTAAGAGGAAGAAGAAGAAGAAAGAAAGAAAGAAGGAAAGGGAGGCCAATTATTCACCTTGGAAATCAAGACAAGGAAAAGAGGAAACATCTCTCATGAGTTCCTCCAAGTCCCATTCCCCCACTTTTAGGTCTTCTCCTCCTTGCCAACAACTTTCAAATCCTTCCATGTTTTCTACTTTGCTATTGTTATTGCAATGGTTTATGACACTATTGGTTATATTATTAATAGGGTTGTTGTTGTTGTTGTTGTTGTTGTTGTTGTATGTGTTCCTATTTATAGAACTTTTGGTTTCTTCAATGCTTACACTCTCTAAAGGAGGAACAAACAACTCTCTTTCAGGCCCAAGATTAATGTAGTTACCACCGCCACCACCTCCATAGATTCCATGATGATTCCCATAAAAGCCATGATCACCACCACCATTCATCATCACATCCATTCCAACTTGTGGCATGAATGTGGGCGCATTAAAGCATCCACTTGAACTAGACATGTTTAGCCCTTGCTCAAACATGGGAAGGAGTGGATCGATCGGATGGTTCACAGCCATTGATCGAGTGGCGGATGACGACGACGATGATGAGTCCATGAACATGGTCATCATGTTTTGTTCTCTCATAGTCATCATCATCCCTTGAATTAGAGGCTCTGAAGAAGAGTCACTAGTATTTGGTGAGAGTGTGGATGATGATGAATTCTTTAGCCTCTTCTTAACTGTTGAGTTCCAAAAATTCTTTATCTCATTGTCTGTGCGTCCTGGTAAGCGAGCTGCAATTTGAGACCACCTTTACAAGGAAAAAAAAAACCAAAAAAACAAAAAACATATCAATATGCTGATGATGTTTACCCCTCCCTCTAATAGCTTAAATAGTTAATAAATTTTGTATTCAAATTTCACTGTCTACTTTATAATTAATTTTTTTATTTTTATTTTTATGTGACGGATCCATGTGAGGGGCATATTAAAGATATATAAATAATAGGGCAAATTATACCCTTGGTCCTCGTAATTTGCTTCTTATGAAAATTTAGTCCAATTGATATAATTCACTAAAACATTTTATTAAAAAACCAAGGATAAATGGTGCATTTGAAAGGAATTGAATCTTTTCAAATTAAATGTCAACCTCTCACTTACATTGAGAAGAGTCAGTAAATTATTTTTTCAGTTTAATTTTTAAAAAGATATCATCAATTGGACTGAATTGCGCAATATAAAAAATTCAAAAACAAATTAATAAATTTACAGAGATTAAATGAATAAAAAGGGCAAATTACAATAACTATGATTATAATTTACCATAAGTTACAAAATTTATCATCTGTCTAGCATCTTAAATCTTTAGATGAAATTATAGTTAACAATATTTTCATTTAAAGTACCAAACGTTAGTTACAAAAGAGAAGTGTATAAAAGGTGTCTTTTCTTTTTTCTAAATGCATGTTTAATTTGCATGGGAAGGAAGCTGTGATTCCCAAAACAAAAACAAAAACAAAAACAAAAATAAAAATAAAAACAGAAAAATTGATGTGGACAGTGGTCCGTTGAGTGTCTTCAACTCAAAGGCCAGATTTAGACACATATATTGATGACACCAACGTCCTTTTCAGCTTTAATCCACTGTTTAAGAACAAACATAACACTTGAATAATTCACTAAATTAATCAAAACATAAGTATATAAGTATGTGTGTGTATATATACAGTATATACTCTTGTCGGCTGAAAATGTACACATTTACCATTACATACCATGCATGGGTATGGGTAGGTGGGTAGGGAGGTAGGTACTGCCTAGTTGAAAACAGTTTGCACCATTACCTTGATTTGACACCTCTTATCTTAATCTTAATCGATGTTAACTTTCATGCTTCCATGTTACACTAATTCCTTAGCTAGTGTTATCCAATGAGAGCCTTCCATGAGTAGAATGTCCTGCTCTGTTTTTTGGAGTCAAAATTTCTAGTACTGGAAAAGTCAAAAGCATACAATGTATGTATGTGTGTATGTTTTTGTTTTGTTTTGGGGATGGGAATGTATGTGTGTATGTTTGAATATAAATACTTGCAATGGAAGGAAAAAGTAGTAACCTAGATTTATGGTTGAAGCGTGAGATCATGAGTAAAATGAATTTGAACTATTGATTGTTATTTCTGAATAAAATTTTTTGGATTTGTAGTCGTTTTCACAATAAAAACCAAGATATCAACAAATTGGAAAAAAACTATCAATACTATATAAGTGTGGTTGAAAATGACACGAGCAATGCTGTATATAGAATTAGTGCACAAAAATAAGTCAAGAAAATTTGTTGTGTGGTTAAGATTTATTAATGTAACTCTTGCAATACAGTTACTATTTTTTTGAATAATTTTTTTTTTTATATTAAAAGTTTACTTCTCTAGTCTTTTTTGTCTACAAATTGCTTTCACAGAGAGTCAAGGGTGTCATAATTTTATCAGAATTCAATACATAGATTCAATTATATTTGAGTCATTAAAAATTGAATAGCATGAATAATGTTTGATCCATTAAACTAATACATTGATAACACATCAGATGAGATGTAAGAAAAAGACTATATTTGAATTTAGAGATCAGATGAGATGTAAAAAAAAGACTATATTTGAATTTAGAGAGAGAGAGAGAGAGAGAGAGAGAGAGGGACCTGTTGCCAAGAAGGGAATGCAAATGGATGATGAGGTCTTCTTCTTGAGGGGAGAAAGCACCACGCTTGAGGTCAGGCCTCAGGTAGTTAATCCAACGAAGCCTGCAACTCTTGCCACATCTCTGGAGACCAGCATTCCTTGCCACGTCACTCCAACAGCCTTGTCCATTCCTCACCATGTAATTCATCAGCTTCTCATCTTCTTCTGGTGACCACAACCCTTTCCTCATTTTGCTCATCATGTTGCTGCTGCTGTTCTTCCCTGTTGTTGTCTCTGTTGTTGGCTTCCTCATCTCATCCCCTTCTGTTTCTTTTTTTTTTTCTCCTCTCCCAACTGATTTGATGTAATGGAGTAAAGACTTTATAGAGAGAGAGGGACTTGGAATAATAATAATAATAATAATGATTACAGTATGTCAACAAATATAAAAATTAAATATACAACTGATTTGGAAATCATATAATGTTACATATATAGTCTCAGAGTATCATATGGAATATTAACCGAGTACTATTTTTATTAAGAGAAATGTTAAAAACTTATAATTTAGACATCTAAATTCACTGATAATATGTACTAAAAGAGTTGTACTTTATATGAATAAATGCGTGACAAATTAATTATCGACACTTATAATATCATATCATTATAGGTCAACTTGTGAATTTTTTATACACGGATTTTAAACATTTTCCTTCTAGTAAATGAAAAATTGCAACCTACGTAAATAAGTCGTTTTTAGTCTACTAACTAACTAATAAAAATAAGCCACTATTTCCTATCGATAAAATTCTCCACTAACCCCAATTACTGCTAAAGAGCATGGTTGGAGTAAAAACATAAAACAGTCGATAGGCAAAATAAAATATATACTTTATAGTAATATTTAGATAGGTAAAATGCCTACTACCGTTGGAGATGCTCTAACTAACTAATAAAAATAAGCCACTATTTCCTATCGATAAAATTCTCCACTAACCCCAATTACTGCAATCACCATCTAGATAGTGTCAAATAATGCTTCACAAATATCCAAAATTATCCATGAACATTCTATTCTTATTATTTATTTGCATTTTATTTTATTTATCAATCTTATGTGATATGTGAAAATTTAAAATGACAAATTCACTTGATTTTTATTAATATTCAACAATTATGAATGCATCATATAAGATAATAAATGAGATTAAAAAAAAATGATAAAACTACATTAATAAACAAGATTTTATAAGATTTGTGGATGAGTCTTCTTTAAAAAATCTATTAATTTATTTAGAGGAGTAGTTTTTTTAATCAAATTTTGTATTTGGTTATTGCATTTCAATACAAATTGTAATGATGATGGTGATGGTTGAGGTGTTTGCTTAGAAATGAGGACATGAGAGAGAGAGAGAGAGAGAGAGAGAGAGAGAGAGAGAGTAGAGGGTTGGTTGAATGAGGACATGAGAGAGAGAGAGAGAGAGAGAGAGAGAGAGAGTAGAGGGTTGGTTGATGGGTCGAGTAGAAAAACGGTTTGGAGGGGGACCTTCGTAGGCATAGCATGTATGTGAAAAAGGGTGAGAGAGAGAGAGAGAGAGACAGAGAGAGAGAGAGAGGGGTCATCTTGTCTTTGACTCCATATCTTGTCTTTTTATACGCATATATATATTTCGTCATTCACAAGGTAATGATTATGTACGTATGTATGTATGTATTTAGGCGTTGTGTACCCAATATATGTATATGATTGAGAGCATGAAAAATACAACGTTTGTTTGTTTGTTTGTCTTGTAACCAAGCTAAAGCCAAATCCAAACCCAAAGATATTTGCTTCCACTTCACATAATCTCTCTCTCTCTCTCTCTCTCTCTCTCTCTCCCTTGTACACCCACACGTGTATTTGAAGCTAAGAGAATAGATTATAAGAATAATAATAATAATATGATCATAACTAAAGTGACAAATTGCATTGAACCAGATCGTCCGGTTCTCAATGTGTGAGTGGCCAATTGCCGACAAGATTCACAGTTAAAAGTTAAAAACAAAGGCTCCATTTTCTATTGTAAATATTTTTGTTAATCTATGATGGAAATTGGGTCGGATTTAGAACTCATATCTGATTGAGTTGTTTATGGTAGCATGACCCAAGACTCATAAAGAGAGACCTAATTAAATTGGATTTGGATTAACTTATCCTAGGAATAAATGTGATTAAAGCCACTATCTCCTTTGATGAGATACAGTTGTGGGTGGTTATAACACTCTCATCTAATATACGTGTTATATGGTGAGAGTTAATTTTAATCGTATTAGATCAGTCTCTTACAATCTTCTCTTATTTTCCTTCTCTCTTCATAGAAACAAATAATAGCCTTTGTACTATGAAGAATGTGGATAGTTCTCTAATAGTTATATTTCACTATTGGGAATTATTCGAAAACATCTATGGAGGCACGTGATTCACCCAAATGATTTATAGATTCGGTTTGAGCGTAAAAGATATGTTCGAATCCGTTTATTTTTGCTGTGTATTATTTCTTATTTTTCTTACATTGATATTAGAGTCATTGTTGGATGTTTTCGTGTTGTTTATGCATGAATATATATATATATATGACTTGTACATAAAAATTGATATTTTTCGAACCATCTCTGATTGTCTTAAATTTTTTATATGTTGTAGTTCATATAATATAGAGCATATTTGCAAAGTTTTGAAAAAAGTGAACAATCGAATTTTGATAAATATGGAGATTTATATTTAATTTTTGTAACTTTGATTGCATGTTGGTTTTAAATAATTTGTTTTCATGTTGTGAAATTATATATTTGAAATTGAAAAATCTAGAAATTCCCTAAATGTTGATTTGTGATTATATATCAATTTTAAGCAATATATAGCAATCCCAATCAAACAATCAAAACAAATCGACACAACGATTATACGTGGAAAAACCACAATTGGACACCTCCAATTGTGATAAAAAATCACGGGCAACAGCCACAAAACAATCCACTAAGAAGATATATAGGAATTACACAGGTATACTCTTAATTACCTAGCGAATCCACGCCCGAATTGAACCAACTTCTATGTGTCTCTTCCAACCCCGTTTTCACCTCGGAATTGTCTTGACGATGAGTCACTCCGGAATCCACCAAAGTTTTAGGCTCGAATTCTTCAGAATCCACCGAAGAACAACTCTCTCTTTTGTGTAGAATAAACAAACAAACCTTTGATGTATGCTTTTTAAACCATGAGTTGAATATTCAATGAAAACATCAAAGAAAACTAGCAAAATATCCCCAGATATAAACCTTAGAACCCAAAAAGAAGATCTGGAGGAGTTGATCAAGTTTTGGGAGAAAACCAACTACTTATAGAAATCCAAAGTAATCCTAGTTTTGGAAGAAAACCAATTCCTTATAGAAATCTGGATTTTGAAGCTCGCTCGAGCGAAGCTCGAGTGAGCGAGAACTTTAACTCGCGTGATTTCCACTAGTGCCTTCGCTTGAGCGACCAATGAGCTCTTTCAGGTTTTTGTATAGACGCAATCCTTCGTTCGAGCGAGGACTTCTTCGCTTGAGTGACCAAGGGTGGACAACTAACTTTGAACGCAATTTTGCATTTTGCTTCGGGCGCGAGCTGACCGGGCAGCTCAACCCCCGTTATAATCAATGAAGTGGCAATCTTGAAAGCATTAACATCACAAACTTCTCTGCAAGGCTCGATTCGGGTTGGATTCGCATCTAAAACTCATATCCTCACTGAAATACAAGAGCGAATAAAATTACAACTGAAAGAAGTTTTGTCAAACGGGATTGCCAAGAATCAAAACCTAACAATCTCCTCCTTTGGCAATGCCATGACAAAACACATCTAACAAATAAAATCCTAAACACCCCAACCCTTACAGCCAATAAAAACACACTTCTTTCTCAAGGTCATGATCTGCAAAACAACTATTAGTGCCACAATATCCAAAACAACTATTAGTCCCACAAGAGTATATGAAACTAAGACTCATGCAAAACAACTCTCAAACAACAAAAGCAACATCATAAACCACACAAGCAATATATGACGATGTAAATACCAAGAACATGCAAGAAGGAAATAATTAGCAAACAATGCATAGCAACATGCAAAACAACTATAGCCAATCTCCCTTACCAAACAAAACAAAGTGTTCATGCTAACAAACTCTTGCAATGAAAAACCAAACTCCCTTACCAACCCGAATCAAGATGAACCAAACTCTCCCTCACTAAAAGCAATCACAAACACTGAAAACAGTGAACAAGAAGAAAAACACAAAAATAATATGGTGGAGCAAGCAAAGAATTTCAGATTTGTACCTTAAAACACACAAGATTATCCAAGAAGCACAATTACTAGTAAACACAATGTGCACAGTCTGTAGAAGATTCCTCATGAAAGAAAGTTATGTATTATGTGAAAAGCATAGATCTCATGAGAAAAGTGTGTGTGTGACTCTTGGAGTTCGACAAACACTAGATTCAATCCTAGTAGTGATTTGAAAGTTGGACCTCCGACAAGAGAATCTAAGCACAACAAAGGAAAGTCAAACCACTAGGAATCAATGGGTATTTGGTGAGTAAAAGCGGAGGCTCCCCCTCAATCAATGAATCCTTTTTTTTTTTCTTTTGCACATTTTTTTTTTCTTTCTTTTGCACATTTTTTCCTTTTTCTTTTTCTTTTTCTTTTTCTTTTGCACACTCATTGGTGGCTGACACGCTCAAGAGTATGGAAACCAAACCAGAGAAGTATGGATATAATAAGGATGGCCTGGTTGGTGACTCTGAGATAGCCTTTTCCTCATGGCTGGACTACAAAGAATAGAGGGGAAAGCCGTGGAGATGTAAAAAGATGGAAGGTGGTTAAGAAACTTAACATCACCCATGATATGCTAGTATTGGTCAATTTCTCTAGAAAAACAAAAGATACAATGCCAGAAATCCATAGAGAAAAAAAAAAAAAACTAAGGCGGAAGACTCCAATATTTTCTAATCCAAGAGTGTGTACAGAAGAAGACGTACTAATCAAAAAACACACACTCCAAAACGAGTAATGACCACAGAAAGTACACATATATTAACATGTAATGGATATTCTCATCAATTCCAATATGTACCAAGGACCACTCAAAAATTTCAAGTTTGCAAAACCATACTAAGAAAAACTTTTTGGGATTTTTTTTTTTTCAAAAATAAAGCAAGACAAAAAAATGAATAAGCACACATGTAATGACAGAAAAAACACACAAAAATCCAAAAACTAAAATGACAAAACAAATTAACACAAGTCAAGTTTTCTCATCCAAACTGCTTTAGTGCAAACAAAGT